GGCTTCTGATATTATGAACATTAATTTTTGTGTACCATCTTCAGACTGTTTTGATATTAACCCCAAACTTAACCTTTTCCATCGTGAAGATATTCGGAAAATAATTAAATAAAAAATAATTAAATAAAAATATTAAATTAAATGTATATAAAGTTGACCTCCGACATTCCTATAAGTTTCCGACCTAGACGAATTTGACAGAACTATTGACGAATTGCTTGAAAAGGGTGTAATCAGGCATAGCAATTCTCCATATGCATTCCCCATTGTTCTTGCACCTAAAAAGGATGGTACTAAGCGAATGTGTGTGGACCATTAGCGCACACAAGGGGTGGGTTTTGGGGTTCAAACCCCCCCTAAAGCTAATAACCTCAAATACAAACTGTATCTTAAAGCTAAGAATCCAGCTCTCAAGGAAATTATAAGAAATATTTATTATAATTTCTGTTGCCTGAAAAAGCGCTTTGCTTTTGCTGTCAATTTCATGGTATCAATCAATTCATGGAATCAATAAATTTATTTTTACTGAGTCTTTTTTAATATTTGTTATTAGGTTCTTTTGAGTGTTGAGCGCATCTTGAGTTTATAGAACTTTTTATTAAACAAGTAGTTTTTAAGGAAAGAACACAACCGACTTCAATTCTCATACTCAAATTTAGGGGTACCGTTAATTTCTTCATGATCCAATCATTCTACAAAAAAATTATTATTGAAATCGGTTCACGTGGTCCAAAGTTACGTATTCCGGCGAATTGATAACCTCCCCTTTTTTTAAAGTCGGTTAAAAGTGTTTGAGTTCTGTTAATCTTATGTAAATAAAGTGCAGTTTAAGAATTTTAAAACGTTTATTTATTTATTACATACAGTACATAAAACTTGCATAAATATATTTTAAAGAGCGTATTATCTGAAGAAAATTTGCAGTATTTTCCGGTGATATATCTTCAGAAATATAAAACCCCCCCTAAAATATATTCCTGGGTGCGCCCCTGGTGTGGACTATAAACCTTTGAATAAAGTTATGGTTCGTAACAGTTTTCCGATGCCTCACATTGATGACTGTATCGAGAGAATGGAGGGATATAATTGTTTTTCAACGTTAGATTTGGAAAATGGGTTGCACCAAATAAATGTAGCAGAAGAATGTATTCAGTATACAGCCTTTGTAGTGCCATCGGGTTAGTATGAATATAAAAAGATGCCGTTTGGTCTAAAAAATGGCCCAGGCGTTTTTAACCGTTTTATGAATTGTGTATTGGCGGATTTCATTCGCGAGGGTTCCGTTGTTATTTTTATGGA